TTAGGAAGTGCCGGTCGGGCGCCGTTAGGTTCGCCGCATAAATGCCATTGATATCAGAGTTTGCGTTACAGACGGGAAAGTATAGGATATTATGAATCCAATCAAATGCTAGAGATTTTTGTTTTTCTGGAATCGTGAGTCAAATTTCAGGAATATTCTTGAGATTTGGGTCGACATTGACTATCGGTTCCGTGTATATAGTAGTCCTCGTGGGTGAGTACATACTGATAGACTTCATGGCAATAAAATAGTTACCAAGGTAACTATAATCAAGTGAAGTTACATATTGATCGCAATTCTGTACGTATTGCGAGTCACTGTAATATATCGTGTGATTTGGTATTAGTTTCGCGAGTCTTATATCTCTTTTATTAGACATAAACATCACTAACGGATCAGATGTGGACATCAGTTGAGACAATGCGCTTGAGTTTTGCTTAATTTCTGGGATCTCCTGCGGCTGAGAAATGACTACATTCGGTGAATTACAAGAGCCCATAATCTTGGAGTCGGAACAAAGACATCGATAGCTATGCCTACCATTGGGTAGACATATGTGTTTGCAGTCATTGTTTAGGCAATAATTGGTTCCGTTTTGCTGTTTCTCTGAACTCATAATTCTTGTGAAGTCTATCCTCGACGTCGAGTTTACCACTGTTTCCACCGCTGAAGACATTGTCTGATCATTTAATTTGATTCGGAATACTTGTTTGTCTTTAGGCGATGACCAATATATGGATCCATTGAACACATCCATCGATGAACAGTCGCTGAAGAGTTGATTGGATTGTCTCAAAGTCTTGCGATTATTGCCAAAGAAGTCAATCGATGACAACGAATGCAATTCATTATCGATCCAAACAATGGTTTGTGTCTTAAAGTCGATGGCAATACAAATCGGAAGTCGAATGTCTTTATAGACCAGAATCTGGGGATCATTTCCGTCTTCATTGCATTTCCTAATAACTGCCGATCCGTTGGAAGTCATATACTCTGACCACACGATGAACCCATCAAAGGGGTTGACCAGCACTTGACCCGTCATCCATGTCTTGTACTTAATGACCGTATTGTTTGTGACGGCATAACCTATGTCAGGATTGTGGACATCCATGACGTGAATATTGGTGTAATTCAAATAAAAGACCAAATCGTGGACCCAATCGACGGCTATATGTCTGTATAAACTGTTTCTCTCGAAATGTGTCGATCGTTTGTATATCTGAAGCAAAGTTTGTCCATCATTTGGATCCACTTTTGTCTTAAGTTCAGCCATTGATAAAGAATAAGGGTATCTATCGTTTGACCAAACGATGTACTCGTCATTGATATCAAAATCCAAGCCTTTTATCCTTTCGTATCTCATTTCATATGCTTTCGTAGAGTTTACAATGAATATGACATCCCTTCCCTCCGAGAGGTAATCATAATTAATACCATTGCTGTTATTATTAAACAATATTACTGGGATTTCTGTGGCACCGGTAGTTATCACAAGTTGTAATAAAACACAACTAGTTATACCTAATAATAAAATTATATATTTGTTCATACTAATAATTACAGTAGTATGGTATGATAATATAAAACAGACAGATATATAAAATTAAGCAAATATTTAGAAAATTATTGAAAATTTAAGTTTTTATAGATTTAAAAAGAAAAATATTTAATTATATCAAACATATCTCTACTTATATTATAAACAAACATTTCCTTGAAATTAAAATCACAATTAATTACTATTAAGAATGGAAACACTTTTCGTACGAAATCTGATTAAAAGCCAATCATATAATAAACATTTTCAACATTTGTACTCATGTTTTAAATACCAATGTAATGTACAGAATTTAGGTACCAATATTTTATGTTATTTCATAACACTACTGTAAATTACTGTATTTATCATAAATTTTATGTCATATAAAGCTTGCAATTTTCCAGTTTAAAATTTTTAATATTTTCGTGTTTATTTACAATGTAATTTCACATCCAGGTGCCCATACTATCCAATATTGACCTATCAATAGATTGCCGGATTACTATCATAGAACCATTTATTATCATTTAATTCTTTAAGTAATTATATTTAAAATGTTTTTATTTTTTAATTTATTATCATTTAATTTGACAAATTCACATATTTGCGATTTGTTTATATAATATATTGAAGTCTTAATATTTTAAAATTTATATAATAAAAAATTGTACAGAATTTTGACATATTTATTTGTTATGAATAATATTATTTTAATTTATTGGGATCCGTATTCCCAATCGATGGCACAGTTGTAGTGGTGGGGGTTGTGGTCACCTCTGGTCTCGAAGTTGGCTGAAAAGTACAAATTCCGTGAAATATACAGAATATTATCGTCAAACAAATTAATCATCAGTTGTTATAAAACTGAATCCTATTTCAAAAATCAAATAAACACAACAAACCGTCTCATCCGTGCAAATATCAGCGAAAAGATTACTAGTCTTCGAGCAAACGCACCGGTAGTCCAGTTTCGTGGGAAGGCATATATGCGTGCATTTGGCGCCCAAACACCGATTCGTGCCGTTTGTCTGTCGAGTTCTGTCCAACACTTTGATGCCCTCAATGTCCGTATAGGCGTTCACCAGAACTATCCTATCGGTGCGGTTCAGGCCCTTCCTATGGGTTACATGAATGGCGTTATTCTCATAATTAGA